ACTCTTCAGCCCTTAATACTACCCCCACGCCACCTCCTCCTTAATAAAACATCAGCACGGGGCTGGCTCGGTTGGGCTGTCTCTTGGCTTGGCGACTTGATCACTCTTGGCACGCAATTTGGCCTATGTGGTAAAGAAAAATAAAAGTCCTTACCAATAACTGCGGAGTCCTTCAAGAGTCTATATTATACCCTCACCTATTCTCTCCCCACACTGACGGCATACGGTCGCCAAATGAATGTTTGTATGCAAGACATGCGAATGATATAGTTGTTGGTCATCCTCTCAAAAGTCACACACATCTCCAGGTTCTGAAAGAAGGTCTGGACCACGTCTCAAAATGGCCTTAAGCCAAAAGTCCTACTGAATAAACAGAAGCCAGTGCAGTGCGTTTTCCGATTGCGACTTTTTCCTAGTCCTGCATTTTTAGACATCCTGCCCAATAAACTATCCTTTTTCCGGTACGCTGATGATACTCCGACATCTAATCTGCTATTTACTCTTCATATTTACCTTCGTAAAGTTGTATATTATACCCGTGGGTGACATTCCTAACACAAACCTCAAGCTGGCATTCTCCCCCTCATTCCATACTATTCTCCGGCTATTTTTCTAACCTTGCTTAAAAAAGACGTGCTGATTTTTAAACGCATATTCTGAATGCTGTTTTCAGCTGCAAGTGTTTCTTATACTTTTTCATCTGATATTATAACACAGCGATATATAACATCGGCATATCAGCATGCTGTACTGTCATTCCTGGCACGCTGCCTCACGTGTACAGAAACAGAAATCCAGGAACTGAGACTGGACCTGTTTCCATAAAAGATGTGTAATTTATGAATGAATGAAAACTCTGATGGGCTCCCCGATCTCCGGCTTAGTGGTAGAACTGGTCCTATAGGAACTAGAAAACACTGCCTTCACCCAACACAAGCCCGTCTTTTGGCGTCCTTACGTTGACGATACGTTTGTTAGCATCAAAAGGAACATGTTGCAAAATCTCCATAAATTCCTCAATGGAACGTTTCTGACATACGATTAACGAGGGAAGAAGAACAAGAGCAGCAACTGCCCTTCCTTGATGTCCTCGTCAAGAGAACGCTCAAGGGTGAAATTGAGACAACGGTTTACAGGAGGGCAACGAACACAACCCAACTTCTCAGTTTTCACAGCAACCATCTGGCTGCCCACAAACGCAGCTGTGTAAGAACGCTCTTCAGACTGATTCAGGCTCACGCAGTAGGCCGGAGGAAAATGTACGCGAGGCCCGATTTCTCCGCGACCAATTCATGCGGAATGGTTATCCGAAAGCATTTATAAACTGATGCCTATGCATTCGGCCACGGCGGACCATAAACCAAGGACGTCTCAGAAGCGACCGAACGCATCGCTGCAGGATTAGGTTCTGGAATTGCACACAAACGCAAAGCTACGATGCGCAGCAGGGTAATGAAAATAAAAGGCCGGCTGAATTCCAATGAACAATCTATGGTAGTCTATCGCGTCCCATGCTTAACTTGTCCTTATAAATATATAGGGCAAACCTAACGCATGCTCGGATCACGCATACATGAACATAAACGGGCGGTACGACTAGGCGACGAATTATCACAAGTTGCAGCGTATACCCATGAAACAGGCCATGAGTTCAACGTTGCGGCCGTCAAGTTACTCTTCTACCTTGGAAACAAGACGAGCCGGGAATTGATGGAAACCTGGTCCACGAACGAGAATTCAATCAACCGATGTGTCGAGTTGGCGTCGGCGTACAGAGCGTTGCGCAGTCACACCTAGACGTCCGTCACGGTTAATTGGCCCACATCCCCTATCATTACCCCCATTTTCTTTGCTGACGCCCTGACGAAATTTGA